AGGTGATTTGTGTCTATACCATTAGTGACAGAGTTATGGGTCTAGCCCTTAAGGCATGATCGCCCAGGATACCGTTTTGTAAATAATTAGCGGAATAAAGATTCATTCGATATTTGATAGCGAGAACGACGGACGTGTTTTAGTAACCACTTAGCCTTCTGAATATTTCATCAGAAGTGGTCTTTTGACCCATCATAAATCAAAGTAATCTAATCGCGAAGTAAACGTTCAGTTAATTAACATTTTGGCGCGCGAGATGGAACACGATGTAATCAAAGCTGAAAAGTATTCACTAATGCAGCTAAAAGCATGGTACGCCGCCGTGAGCGTCAACGTATGCGGCGCCAGGGTATTGCTGGCCGCCAGGTTGAGTGAACTGGCGGTAGAAGCTGGAAGATTACGCCCGGGCGCTAACGTCAAGTCTGTTGAAAAAGGCGGCGTAAGTTTCGGCAATGGCGCAGACAACGGGAATGTCAACGTACAGCAACAACGAAAGACAACGGAAACAACGGCGAGAGTGATGGTGAGAACAATGGCGAGGACAAAGACAATGGTGCAGGCTGTAACGAAGGTGCGAAAAGTGCAGCAGACAACGGCGATGGTGCGGCATACGAGCAAAATATTGTAACATGTCCACGTAGCGGTACTTTGGGCGTCCGTTTTTCCAGAAGTAACGGAGGCGTCGATGGAGCGAGTAGCGGTGAGAATAACGGCGCGGCGTCTGGCCGCAACAACGATAGTTTCGAAGCGAAGCAAATAAAGGTCGAGTTATTGGGCAAAGGGATCGAACTCCTAAACTTACAAAATGCCCTGTTCGAAAAAGAGGGTACAATGGCAGTAAGCGTTGAAAAGGCGAGCAATGATGCTCCGTTCGAAACTTTGATGGCGATTATACCAACGTCCAACAGCGCCAATGGTGCGAGCAAAGGAAAAGGTGAGAACAACAACAAAGATGCGAACAACGGCACTGAGACGGGAAACCACAATGCTGACAACGGCAACGGTCCTTACGGTGGTAACGGCGATGGTGAGCAGCTGAATGAGTTACTCCAAGAAAACTACAATGTTCTGTGCATGCAAAGTAGAAGGTTTGGTCGCCTGGTAACGAACCATGAAATAGTTTGCGACGTGCGGAATACGGCTGGGGCGAAAAATTTATCGGTTGGAACTCGAAAGGGAAAAGGCTATAGCAACAGTTACAATATACAATTCGAAGCCAGAGGTCCCGTTCGAGATGATAAAAACTTGATAGCTAACAGCAGTAGCGCAAGCATTTATGGCGGCGCAGGCAACAGCTATGGCGAAAACAACGACATCAGCGTAGACAAAAGCAGAGCCGTAAACAACGACAGCGACACAAACAGCAGACGCACAAACAAAAGCGTCGAAAACAACAGCAAAGGTGCCAACAGTGCGAACCCCAATGGTGATGAGCTCCAAGCAGGCAACAAGATATGCATGCTAACAGAAATATTTAACGGAAGCGGGTGTAGTTAAGATGCAGAATGCCGCCCAACTTCTATATGTTTGTCGTCTGAAGAAGCAAATATGAAGATGCAACATTCGGAAAAAGAGATGGAGTTTCGGAGATTTAAGCTACAACTGAAAAGTCAAAACGCAGTCGTATCAGCAGCGGCAGACCATACAAATCCCGAATTGCCGTGTGAAACGATAAAAGAACTGTGGGTTGACTAACACACTATCAACATACGTGGCAAAGATGTTCACAATCTGAAACAACATTCCAAACCGAAGGTAGTATAAATACGGCGTAGAATCAGGTGATTCTATTTGTCAGGACGGCCGAGTTGTAAGAGTGTGTACTTAGTATACCCGCCCTAAGCTTTAAGTTAAGT